AGTCATCCTTTGCGACTCGTAGTTTTCCGATTTAAAGAACCCTTTGGGTTGTAGGGCAAGGTTTCCTACGAGATAAGCATTTTGATTCACAGATTGCAGTGCAAGTCTAGCCAAAGTTTGCTTTCCCCAGAAAGCTCTACATACGAATTTGACTTAAAGCAGTTCCATAGAAGTCTTGAGAAGCGAAGGCCCGGATATTATGTGAATTCTATTCTTACAGATATTTTCGATGCATAGTTATCGATAACAAATGGTATGTTTTGAGGTACAATGAAGTGTAAAAGCATAGAATATTCATGTGACTATCATCGTAATGTTAGGTCAGCCCTAGTTAGATACCGACCACTTGGTAGAAATGAGTTTGCAAGAGTGAGTAAACAGGTTGAGGCAAGTTGGAAAAAGGTTTCCTGAAGAATTTTGTATGGAATGAATGGATTCGCGAATGCGATATCTTATCGCACCGCATGGACTAAGTCCATTTTATTCGCACGAAAAGCCATTTCGCGGGGACTTTCGTGGATATCTTCGGGGATCCGTCTAAGTCGTGATCCAGTTGGAATTTAGAGCCAAAAATCAAAATTTTTCAGCTACTCCAGAAATCGGATATACTTCCAGAAATTTCCTACAGATTTTCAACTTGATCTTTACATAGTAGACACATAGTAGTACTCAAAAATGTATTTGTTCGGATGCCACTTTTTTGGGGTTTCATGTAAAACTTGGTATTTCTCGACTATGAGAGCGCATAGAGAAGTAAAGTTGCAAGATTATACTTACAGACTTTTAGTATACAATGACATATGTGGGAGGGGCTGGGGCAGAGTTTGCCATTTTTGGACTATCCTTCTTTCTTGCTTCCCATGCGCGGAAAAAATACAGTAAGGACACATTTGAGTATTACTATATGTTTTTAGTGTATAATGACCAATTGGAGGTCCATAGAATTTTTTCGCAGAATCTAATTTTTAGCTGATAATTTTTTTTTGATTTTAGCTCAAAACAAACCTTCAACCTATGCCTTATTCTTCGTAGTAAAAAGGAAAGATGTCGTGTTTGAATGTCGTTTGAAGGACGTCGCACTATTAAAGGAGTTTTATATGAAAAATCCAAAAAGAGTGGCATTTTGGCAATTTCGGAACACATGTTCTTCTTAGTTTAGCCCTGGAAAAATCCACCGACTACATTTGTGGGTACTACTATGTGTTTATAATATAATGATCAAGTTGGAAGTCCGTAGAAATTTTCTGGAAGGAGATCTGAATTCTGAAGTATTTAACAAATTTTGATTTTTAGCTTCAAATTTCATCTGGATTGCGAATTAGGCGGATCATTGGTGGGCATTTTGTAGAGCTTAATCTGCTCTATTAAATGGCTCGATTTATTCAGAAAGGATTTTACTTTGGGAACAACCCAGTATATCGCATTTTGCCAAGATGATTTTTTTCTGAATCTAAACTTCTAGAGTTGGCGAAAAAATGCTTAATTTTTTCTGAAGCAAATGAGACTTATAATACGTCGAAGTTGCACTTATGAAGAAGTTTCAGTTTAGTATGGCTGTAGGATACTGAGAAATTCAGCCCCGGTGGTCACTGTCGGAAAATTTCAATATTTTCTATCTCTAATTTCGCGCATCAGGCAATGCCCTTGGATTGCAAGTGTTCGATCCGCACTGGATGAACTATTGGCATTTGCCCTCTATGCATACAAGAGTATGGTCAGCAACGATGGAGTTCTGCAAGATTTGTCCCCCGTAGGTGGGGGGGGGGGGGGAAATTTAGCATGCAAGAGTACAACACTAGCCCTAGGTAGTGTTCTTTTTATCGAAAAAAAAAACCTGAAAAAAATATGCACGAGAACTTTGAGGACCATGCACTTTGAGACAATAACCACCATGTTGGTTCATTCAACTGCAAAAATCAGTAGGAAGAGGAAGGAAGAGAACTCCTGAGCTCAGAAAGAAGGGGTTGAAACAAATATATGCTATCAAAGGTCAATCAGAAACTCTCCAAACTTGTCTTGGGTCATCAAAACTAAAAAAAAAGAAGAATTAGACGTCATATATCAATAAATAAATAAATATTCTCAATTCCTCATCCAACTGCTATAGATGACCACTCGCTCAATGTAAGGAAGCAAGGAATACCAATATCTGTAGATTATTACGCGAAAAAGCCGTGAAGTTTCAACGCTATTTCAAACTAGAGAAATTATTGAACTTTGAGCTTGCGGTACAATTTTGCTTCACCTACTCTTTTCGAAGTTTTCACTGAGCGTAGAAAACACAGTCACCATGAATTTAACAAGTAAAGGCTACTGCATGGCGAAGGCGCATTACCTTTGGGTGCAAACGCGGCTGTATTAGCCGCAGAGCGCATGAGAAGCAGGTTTTATAATAATGAAGATACGCGCGTTCCGCACTCGCGCCCGCTCAACTGATACCGTTTCTGCGCCTTCGTCATGCAGTAGCCTTTTAATTATTTTCGATACCCGAGTATTTAATTAACACACCAGTTGGCGTTATTGTAAATGAGCTAACAAAATTAGACATCGAAAATAATACGAGAAGTAGCAGGTTTCACGCTATTTCTTGCAAATTTGTTTGCACACCATGAGAGCAGAAAATTGTGGAACAGCTACAGTACCCTTACCAAGTATTCGACAGAAAATGCTAAAGCTGACAATTCGCGTTTTTTTCGTTTTTTTAAATAACTTCCTTCAGTTTATAGAGTTATGAAAAAAAGCATAACACTCAGCTTGTCAAAACGAAACTTTTGATTTACTAAACTATCTTGCTATCCGTTTTAGTGCTCATTATTTTTGTGGGACGGCTTATCATGCGCTAGCAACTAACAGGAGATCACCTTTCCAGAAAGAAAAATAAGCCGGTGAATTTGGAAATTCCTTGTCTTCTAAATTTTGCTTACCGTAGCCCTAAGTAAGATCCTAGTTTGCAAAGAAGGTGTGTTTTCTGCACGAGCTGGCTAGGGAGATTTCAAAACGAAGTCCCCTTTGATCTCGCAAATTTCGTACAAGGTCCCCTTTGACCTGTTTTGCTTGCTTGAGGGGCGCTTTGAGATTGGAGCTTTTTCGACTGCAGAGCAGACCGAAAAATTTTCAGATGGCTATAAAACGCCGAAAAGAAAACGTTATGAATTCGTTTTTTCACTGTATGTAAACTTTACAGTGTAGATACAATTTAAGCAAGAAAGTATGAAAACTTACATGAACAAAGGGTGCCAGCTAATTCAGAAAAAAGTTCAGCAAAGCTTTCATTTGCATAAGTTTTCAAGTAATTTTGAACCGTAGTTTGGGTGATTGCGTTTTGTTTGTCAACAAGGCTTTTGTTTGTTTGAAAATTGAAATTTCTGTGTTAGCACCGGCATGTCGGAGGCATACCGACGGTATGCCGTTAGCATGCGAGTGCATACTGGCAGCATGCTGATGGACAGAAGTATAAAGACTAGCGTGTCGCCGGCAGCCGGCAGGTGTTGACGCGTGCCCCTGGCATTTCAGCAAACAGCGGCATCTAACCCGCGAAAACCCGCGCTCGCACGATACCTCCTTTGCTTTCCTCCCCAAAAACGATATTTGTAGCGCATCAGCTGGGGATGCTGATGCGGAGGGCGTCTGGCGTGGAGCAGAAAAATAGGAATAAAAACTTTATCCGGACAAGGCCGGAACAGAACAATAACAATAAGAACAATAACAACCTAGCCGGCGGCCTTTTATAGCCGCGCGGGTACAAAGTACAGCATGTTCTACAATAAAACAATAATCGTTAACAACACAAACCTACGCAACTCTAACAAATATCTTTTATCTCTCATAGCTATTCTATACTTCCTTCACATGCCTCCTTGACGAGTAGAGTCGTCCCGACGATGTTCATGCTTGTGATGCGAGTGTGCGAATGAATGGCGGCTGTGCGACCTACGGTGGCGGCTAGGAGAGTTCGACCTTCGGTTCGGGGCCTGGGATGGGTCTTGAAACGTTATCGGTGCTCGATGACGCTTTCTCTGCGGATCGGCAATCACCCAGAAATTGGGCATATACTCTTCCTTGCGGCGCCGCGCCTTCAGTATCTTCTCTCGCCTACGTTGCTCGCGTAGCTCTGGTGTTACGGGCTCAAATTTCGGCAGCCTGATGAGATCATTCACGGTAATCCTGACTTTCTCGAGGAATGTCAGTACTTGGGGTCTAATGAAGGGCGCACCATTGCGTCTCGGGTTGACTCCAAAGCAACAGGCTGGATGTGTATACGGCGCGTAATCCAGGACGCCAGAGTAATGATCGCGAGTCACGGCCATGAAGTTGCGAGAGGGGTCCGTTAAGAATCGTACGAACTCGCGGCACACTTCGCCAACTCTTCTCCATTCTCCGGCATTCCGATCCTCATAGGGGCTTGGGACAAACGCAAGTGTTCCACCGTCTTGGAGGTGTCTCTCGATGCTGATTAACAGCTGCCTCATCTGCCTGCTTTCAGGTAATTTGTTTGGCCATACGATGACTATGGCTTTCATAATCTCGCGGGCGGTCAACAGCTTGTTGGCAAGCGTTCCGAAGTCCCGATAAACGTGTGGCATAACGTTGTCTTCGTATGAGATTTCCGAATCCAATCTTGCGAAAGAAGGTGGGAGTGCAATGAACGTACGGCGATCCATGTGATGGCCCAACAACGGCATCTCGATCTGATCCAACATCATGATGGCTTCCGCTAGGATGTCCCTGATGGGGCATTCGCATGGCCATGGGTAAATTGCGGGGTGGTCGTACTTCACTCCCTTCGCCTCCTCCACTCTTTTGGCATACAAAGGACATCGACGTCGATGAGCGTCCATCGCTACAGCGAGTCCGTATGGCGTGAGATACTGCGATGTTTCCGTCTGAGCTCTAGCTCTTTCCTTTCGTCCGACCAACATTCTTGCTCCGAGATGCTCGCGATATTGGCCAAATGGAACATGTCGTTGACTGTCTTGGCCCTTGCTAGCGGGTGTTTCAGACTAGGTATCGCTACATGCGCCATCTGTCCGAATAGACCACAACTGCAGCGAAATCTCAGATTCAAGCGGTCGTCGGAGGCCAGCAGGGTCCTGAAAAGAGAGATTTTGTTGCATCGGACTTCTTGTGTCTTATTTTTCTTAGGACGCCCTCTTTTACCTCTGCTTTTCCTCGTTAGCAATGGCTCGTCGGAGATACCCCAGGGTAGCTTCCTAAGTAAGTCAAAGGGTACCCTTACTGGTTCCTTATCTTGGTTGATCAGTGTAATTAAGGCACTATTTTCACTGGCCTCTATAACCCGGTAGGGTCCTTCCCAGGGATTCGCTAGTTTGGGATGGCTTGCGGACTGTTTCTCGCTGGGGATTCGCATGTAGACCCGGTCGCCGACCTTGCGGGGTGCAGGGCAACTCTCCACTCCCTTTTCACGGTCATATGAGGCTTTCATACGCTCCCGCATTTTGTCGTTTACCCTGCGGGCGTACTCACGCGCAATTTGCGTCCCTACAACCACCTCTTGGGCATAGCTATCTATGTCCACTGCGTATCTGCGGGCTTCAGGTTCCAAATCCCACGGGACATGCGCGTCGAAACCGTGCAACAGGAAAAATAGGGACTCTCCAGTGGACTCATGCACTGTGGTATTGTACGCAAACACACACGCGGGTAAGATTTTATCCCATTCCACTGCGACGGAGACCTTTTTCCTCAACATCGAGATGATGGTCTGATTAAACCTTTCAGTGAGGCCATTTTCACGAGGATTATACCCTTTCGTGAAGATCTGGTTGAACCCCATCAGCTTGTGTAGCTCTTCCATTAGCTTGTTTTCGAACTCCCCTCCCTGATCTGAGAGGAGACACTTGGGCTGGCCTCCACCCTCTGCCACCCATCGTTCAAAAAACACTCGCGCTACCACTGGTGCAGCTTTGGATGGGACAGCGTAGGCCCCAGCGAACTTTGAGAAATGGTCGACAACGGTTAGGATGTAGCGGTTCCCTTCCGTGGTGATACCCATTTCCGAAATGTCTATACCCACTACCTCAAATGGCCTAGTGGTGACAATTGGACGTAGTGGTGGGACCATTGCTTGCTGAGGGTTGTGACACAAGCATTCTCGGCACTCTTCTGCCCAGCGCCAGATGTCCCTTCTCATAGATTCCCAGAAAAATCTCTTAGATAGCTCCCGCCACATCTTCTTGGCTCCAAAGTGTCCCGCTAACACTCCGTAATGTGCATCTTCAAAGAGTTTCTTTCTCTGGGAGGGTGGTACCACCTTCCGCAAGCTATCTTTATCCACCAGCATAAGGTGACCTCCACTCATGATAAAATCAGCTACTTTGTACCTCAGCGATGATCCCGGAAACTCTACTTTTCCATCCACTTCGTCCTTTTCCAGTCTTTCTATAATCTTCCGATAGGATGATATCTCCCGAAGTTCCTTCATCCATTCCGTGTCCTCAGACATGGACGCCACTATAAGCGCATTTTGCATAGAGTCGTTACATGCGCAGAAATCTTCCTCAGTTGTTGCTCCCCGACTTAGCGCATCCGCGACTCGATTTGCGGCCCCTTTCAGGTATACAATCTTTGTACTTCTGCAGTTCGAGTGCCCATCGAAGGACTCGATCTGACACATTTGTACGTTTAAAGATTGCGGTTAACGGCTGGTGATCCGTGTATACTTCTACTGGCAGTCCATAGACAAACATATGGAACTTCCTTAAAGCAAAGACCACTGCCGAGGCCTCTAGGTCGGTTATATGGTATCTTCTTTCGCAGCTGGACAAGCCCTTGGACGCGAAGAAGATTGGATGCAGCAGTCCATCCTCTCCTTCCTGGCTGAGCACCGCTCCTAAGCCTTGGAAGCTGGCATCGGTGTGGATCTTGAAAGGCCTTGTTCCCTTCCTCGCGGCCTCTACATCGGGTTGAGCGAGCACCGGCGCTTCGGTGATCACCCTCTTTAGCTGCTGGAAGCTTGCCTTTCTTTATTCCGTCCATTCGAACTTCTTCTTCTCTGAAGTAAGTTCGTGTAGCGGGCCCGCTACCTTCGCGAAGCCCAAAACGAACTTTCTGTAATAGGAGCACATCCCCAGGAACGTTCGCAGGTCTGACCGCAATTTTGGAAGTGGGTACGCTAGTATGGCTTCTATCTCAGCTGGATCCATATGCAGACCGTCTTGGTCAATCACATGGCCTATGGAATCCCACTTTTCTTTCGAAAAGAACGCACTTCCGCGGACTCAGTCTAAGCCCGGCAGTCTCCAACTTTTGAAAGACCTCCTCGAGCACGCAAACGTGTCTCGCGGCTGAATCCGTCGCGATAATAATGTCGTCAAGATAACATACTTCTTCGCCTTCTAACAACGTACCCAGTACCTTGTGCATCAGTCGCTGGAACACTGGAGGAGAAGCTGATAGCCCGAACGGTAGTACTCGAAACTGAAACAACCCTTCGGTAGTAACGAAGGCAGACTTCTGTTTCGCATCTTCCGACAAGCTTATCTGCCAGTATCCAGACGCCAAATCAAGGGTTGAAAAGAACGCCTTTCCTTTCAGGCTCTGCAGAATTGAGTCGATGGAAGGTAATGGATAGCTATCTACTCTAGTGACTTTATTCACCTTCGATAGTCCACACACAACCTGAGAGACCCATCTTTCTTCCGAACCAATACAATGGGTGAGGCCCAGCTCGATCTGCTCGGCTCGATTACCTTTCTTGTCTGCAAATCATTCAAAATACGCCTCAGTTCCACATGAGTTGCCAGAGGCACTGGTCGCGGCTTCTGCCTTATGGGAGACGCATCCCCTGTCTCACTGTCATGCTCCCAAGGTTTGTCTGAGAGAGCTCCTGGTCGGTGACCGCAAACCCTTCCGCGTGGCGTTTTACCAGACTTCGCATGTCGTCCTCGAGGTTTCCGCTCGACTTGCTCTTCTCCAGCAGCTTCATTAGGCGCTCTTCTCTATTCTGCGCTTCAGAAGCAGTCCTCTCCAGCATGTTGCCTTGATAACTGAGAGGTTGCTGTTCCACTACCTCCATAGGTTCGAACGTTCCAATCTCTTCCCCTTCTCGGAAAAGCTTGGCTCCTGACAAGCCATTAGTCACCGGAACGTTTAACGAAGTACTATCCTTGTCCCAAACCATATCGGGAACCATTCCACACTTTGACTAAAAAATCCCTTCTTTTGGTCTGCCTCTTCGGGTAACAGGCAACACCTTCGTCTCACCTGGTCCGACGTACACTCGTTCCATACTGGTGACGACTTCCTGTTGCTGTTTCCGTCTTCTTCTTTTCGGCTCCTCCTTTGATTTGGGTACTTTTGCTTCAGTACCGTCGTTTTTCCAAGTGCTCTTATTGTTGGCTAAGGAGAATCCGAGCTTTGACAGCGCGTTTGTACCAAGCACAATCATGCCATCCGCTCCTGCCATCACGAACAGTGATATTTTCTGCTTCACACCGTTCTTTAGCTCAATCGTGAGCTTGACTGCCCCCTTGAATCTCATTCGGTTGCCCGAAGCATCGTATACCGGAGCTAGGTGGTCTATCGCTACCTCCTCAGCATTGGCATCCAAGTCATATCCGCTGTCTCGGCTGGCTACTAGCATCTGCAGCGGTATGATGCTTACTTGGGAGCCCGTGTCTATCAGTGCTTTTCGCGATAGACCTAGCAGATGGACATTCGTAACCATCTGCTCCCCCACTAGCTCAGTAACGCTTTCTGTTGTACCCACAGTACCGCAAATCCATTTGTTTAGTGAAGTTGTGAGAATCCTCGGTGCATCCCCATTGAGTTCACTTCTTTTTGGTTTTCTACAACTACGGGTGTAATGTCCTACTTCATTACAGTTGTAACAACGTGGTTGTTTCTTCTGGGGAGCCGCTGTTGCTGGAACATCTTCTTGACCGACAATTCTTGTAGCCTGTGGTCTGTTCCTACTCCCCATTGGCTTTCCTCCCATACTCGTCTTCGGAGCTTCTTCCGTGATCTGTCTCATCGCGTTTGCAACGTCCTTGCAGCGCTCACACCTTTGTGCCATGGCCTTGACAAGCTCATATGCACACTCCTTAGGAGCAGTCTCCATGGCCGTGAACAATTGCAAATATTCCGGCCATTTCGTTAGCTGGGAGACTAATTCTCCGGCTCTTGTTCGTGAGAGTTCCCTATCTGTCGCATCGGGATAGGCTCTCTGCGTCAGCCCTTCAAGCTCGAGGCAGTAGGAGGTAATGTCTTTGCCCATTCTTAATCTCTTCAGCTGCATGTAGGCCTTCATTTGGTCGGCGGAGTCATGCACTTTGAATTCGTCCCGCAGTGCTTCTACGAAGTTTTCCAAAGTGCCCTTTTTCAACCGTCTTGGCAGTGCCTCTGCCTTGGGATATCCCCCAGCTTTGAGAGAAATAGGTGAAGGAGCATGTCATCATGCATCCCTAGACCGCTATATTTCATTCGGAACCTCAAAATGAACTCGTCTAACCCTTTTCCCTATGGGTCTCTAAAGACTTCTAGTTCTGGCAAAGCCATCGCAGCAAACATTTGGGCTATGCTTGTTTAAGAATCTTGAGTTAGCCTACCTGGTAGTTGGCTGGCTCTCGACAGGTTCTGATGTGGCGCCGTCGGCGAATTCGTCCCTGGGCTGAAATTGATGAGCATCTTGATCGTCATTGCTGTTTGACACTTCTCGCAACTTGCCTAAGGCTGCGGCTATGGGATCAAATTCAGCGTACATGTGCTCATCACCTTCCTCCGTGTGAGGATGATCTTCTTCTGAAACTCTTGACGTGGACTGCGTGGGACCCTGAATTACCTTTGTTGAATTCATTGGTCGAATCTCTATGCTTTCCACAGACTCGTCTACGAGTTTGTTAGTTGCTCGCGCGCAGCTGATAGTGAGACGTAGCGCTTTGCATAGGAGCCTGTCTTGCTTTTGCAGCAGTTCTTCTACGCCTTCTAGGTTTTTGAGTTCGCTGCTTATTTCCTCACATTCACTTTCAATGCAATTGCTTGCGAGGGTTACAAGATTTTCGCTGGTCCTTGCTTGCGCGCGGGTTAGTTCGTTCTGGTTTTTGAGCGCGGATGGAATTGCCTGCAGCGCTTCTACTTTTGCTCTGACCTTTGTAACTGAGAGCTTTACCTGGGCGGTTCCGTTTTTAGAGATCTCCTGTACCGCCGCTACGAGTTGCTGAAGCGTTTTCTGCATGGTCGTAAGTTGCTCAGTAGGCAGCTCTTCTAGGTTGAGCTTGTCGAAGTCATTTTGTTCCATATTAGCACTCTCCATTGCGAATACACTGCAATCAATCGACTTAATTGCTTTTCACGTTGCTTCTCAGGGACTCGCACCGTGCGGGCGGCCAGCGACGAACTTACAATCGCTCGTTGGTGTGTGCGATTGTACGGTCAACAGGGGCCGTTAGCACGGTTAACGTGGGGCGCCCGCACGGTTTCTAATGGTCGCCGCTTGCGCGGGGAAGGTCGGCTGCTCGCTTGCTGCTGGAGTAGGTTTATATGGGGTATTTTAACCATTTTTCTTGGGTATGTTAAGCATTTTCACATCCTGGGAACACGGACCAATGCCTGCCGCACTACCCAAACTTTCCATGGAGAAGCCCACACCATCACTCTTGATAACTGTAGCCTCACACAGGTTCATTCCAGCTTTGCGGTGAAGGGAAATCTTGGTAACACGATAGTCGAAGCTTAGCCAGCCTAAACGCTGCGTCGTATCTCATGCAGGTACCGTTTACGCTCACAGTGTGTGAAAACAATGAGCCGAAGGTAGAGGTCACTGTTGGCCGCTTGCACGGGCAAATGTTTGCCGCCTGATCGAACGGACACATTGCCTGCCGCCTGCACGGTCGATTTTATTGCGTACCGATTGCGCGGCGAGATTGCCTGCCGCTTGTACGATCAAGTGATTGCTGGCCGATCGTGCGGACGCATTGCCTGCCGCTTGCACGGTCGATTTTGTTGCGTGCCGATCGAACGGGTAGACTGTTTCCGCTTACACGGCATTTTTATTGTTGACCGCACGCACGGTACATCAAAAACTATGCAGTGCGCTCAGGCGGAGGAGCTTTAATGAGGACCGCCCGCACGGCGCGAATCCCTGAGTTCCTCAATCACGACAACGCGAGTCACAAGGAGAGGGTCGGTGGGTGCCGCTGCAACGTATGTTCCTTTTGACCCGAGATGTTCGATATCGATACACGCAGCGGGGCTGGTATATCGAAGTCTCGATCCCAGGATGAGTGGCTTATGCCGCCTCAGCTAGGAACATACACTGCCAATCGGCAGGATACTCGCCTTTTCCGCTTACGCGGTCTTATCGGCGGAGTTGGGTTGGTTGGGTTCGGCCCCCATGCAGCGCATCAGCTGGGGATGCTGATGCGGAGGGCGTCTGGCATGGAGCAGAAAAATAGAAATAAAAACTTTATCCGGACAAGGCCGGAACAGAACAATAACAATAAGAACAATAACAACCTAGCCGGCGGCCTTTTATAGCCGCGCGGGTACAAAGTACAGCATGATCTACAATAAAACAATAATCGTTAACAACATAAACCTACGCAACTCTAACAAATATCTTTTATTTCTCATAGCTATTCTATATTTCCTTCACATATTCAGCTTGATCCGGTGCCAGCTGTGCCTAGCGGCTAGATTACCTCTATAAGCAATTTCTCCTAGAAAATCCGGTCCTTTTTTTCTCATTCCAGGCTCTGAGCTCACCGATGGGTCTTGAGTAAAATATTGATGCTCTTGGATCGACCGGAAACTTCGCCCGTACAAGTTTTCGGACCCGCTGATACGAAAATATTGCTCTTGTGACCATTACGGAGGATTATGCTGTGAGATATGCAGCGATACCACGCAAGTTCCTGAATTTCGCAGTTTCTGCGCGTCTATTGGGCTTACCTGCTTTTTTAGTTTGAAATCATTAAAGACAGTGCCAAAGGAACATGCTCAAATTAGACCTTTATTTGTATTGATCGTCAAACTATAAGCGTACGATCTCATCCTCATAGATATTGTTTGAAATTTGAAGGTCGCATGCAAACTTTGACAAAATATCGTTGTGAATGGTTATAGAACATTCTGATTGCAGTATGTCCATACATGTATATAACGATTATCTGAAAGGGTATGCTTGCTTACCCCCTCCCCCCTCTCTGCCAACATTCGCCGCTGTAGCTCAAGTCAAAAATCGATATTCTCGATGTCAACGATGAAGAGAAGTAGCCTACGACACCTATTCCGCCCCGTACTTTTTATGTATTACTAGCTGGCTTACCCGGCTCCGCCGTATCCGGACCAAACTTGGCACACATACACTTCGGGCCCCGGCGGGTGTCACAGTCCACTTTTCGTTATCGATCGATGTCGATTTTACCGATTTTTATCGATTTTTTTGCAGAGTTCACCTACAGGGCTGGAAGTTGGCACAGGGGGGGGGGGGAAGTGAGCATGGGGATTCCGAATACAATATTAGTTTTCAGAATTATCGATTATTTTTATTGATTTTATCGATTTTTTGTAAATTTTGACATGCGAGGCTGGGATTTTGCACAGGGGGATAATCGAGCATGCTGATTACGAACACAATATTAGTTTTCAGGATCGTCCATTACTTTTATCTATTTTATCGATTTTTTTGTAAAGTTTGACCTGCGGGGCTGGGAGTTTGCACAGGGGGGGGGGTAATCGAGCATGCAGATTACGAATACAATATTAGTTTTCGAAACCGTGCATTACTTTTATTAATTTTATCGATTTTTTGCAAAGTTTGAGCTAGGGGGCTGGAATTTGGCAGAGGGGTGTAATCGAGCATGCTGATCACCCCCTTGGGGATGATCAGCATGCTCGATTACCCCCCTGTGCCAACTCCCAGCCCCGTAGCTCAAACTTTGCAAAAAAATCGATAAAATCGATAAAAGTAATCGATAATCCTGAAAACCAATATTGTATTCGGAATCCTCATGCTCGATTACCCCCCTGTGCCAACTCCCAGCCCCGTAGCTCAAACTTTGCAAAAAAAATCGATAAAATCGATAAAAGTAATCGATAATCCTGAAAACCAATATTGTATTCGGAATCCTCATGCTCGGGGGGCGCTCGTTACGTGCGGGCGGACCATTGGAAAACGTCGCAACGCGGCAGCGCGCGGGGAGAAGTAGTGCAGCAAACTTGTGAAATCTATACACCTAGATCAACAATGCTTCTTCTAAACCGTTAGTCTTTTACATTCAACCGTTTGTGTCTTTTTTGTCCTCCAAAGTGCTAATTTTACAAGTTTTGTGGGGCAACTTCAAATAAGTAAGCAAAACTAATATGGGAATAGTCTGTGAACCTCAACAAAGGATGAGAGATTGAGAAAATGTGTGCTGAGAATCATGCTAGCCGAATTTCCTGAATGCGGTCACCGGCAGCCTGTCGCGCGCGACGTTTTCCAATGGGCAGTCCGCACGTAACGCTACGCACCCCTCATGCTCGATTACCCCCCTGTGCCAACTCCCAGCCCCGTAGCTCAAACTTTGCAAAAATCGATAAAATCGATAAAAGTAATCGATAATCCTGAAAACCAATATTGTATTCGGAATCCCCATGCTCGATTACCCTCCTGTGCCAACTCCCAGCCCCGTAGGTGAACTCAGCAAAAAAATCGATAAAAATCGATAAAATCGATATCGATCGATGACGAAAAGTAGCCTATGACACCCGCCGGGGCCCGTAGCGTATGTGTGCCAAGTTTGGTCTGGATAAGCAGTGGTATCAACGCAGAGTACTGGAACATACGTACATACAGACATACATACATACATACATACAGACAAACAGACATTCAGCTTTATATATAAGACTAGCTGGCTTACCCGGCTCCGCCGTATGTTCCGAATAGAAAATTCCATTTCTTAACCGATCCGGACCCAACTTGGCACACATACACTTCACTTCACACATACCCCCCTCCCCGCGGGGGTGATCAGCATGCTCGATTACCCCCCTGTGCCAACTCCCAGCCCTGTAGCTCAAATTTTGCAAAAAAATCAATAAAATCAATATCGATCGATGACGAAAAGTAGCCTATGACACCCGCCGGGGCCCGAAGTGTATGTGTGCCAAGTTTGGTCCCGATCGGTTCAGAAATGGAATTTTCTTCGGAACATACGTACAGACATACAGACAGACAGACAGACATACAGACAAACAGACATTCAGCTTTATATATAAGATGATATGATTCAATCCAGTCACTACAAATTTCTTGAAAATAGCGCGGAAAGCATTAACATATTTGCAGTTTTGACAAGATCAGTATCCTTTGTCAGTTTTCGGAAGGGCCCAGCATGAGGGTGGCAAATAAACATCGGTAAAACGACTTCCCTTTGCCACTATCGATTTCCACGATTTCCCACATGATCCCGCCACCTGCATAGGTTGTTCGATTAGAGCGCGCTTTTAAAAAACCTAAACTAAGACCTAAGACAAGACCTAGACCTGAGACCTAAACTAAGACCTAAATTAGACTTCAACTCCTCTCCAAGAAGGAGGGGAGGAGTTATGGTCAAAAGGTTACTATTTATCAACTCTCGGGTTTAGAACAGATCTACGTAGAAATTTTGAGAAACTTACGTGAAATGGAAGTTTTGTTTACCTCTGGGCATTAGGTGGGCAATTGCTCACCTAACTTGGAGAAAATAAACGTGCTCTTTATTCACACAGGTTTTTCATAAGTTTTCAAAACTTTGTTCCCTAGCACGACGCGCTGTTGGGCTCTACACACTCCAAATTTCGTTTCATATCGTCATCGCGTTGCAAACGAGTCATTTTATCATTTTGTAGTAGTGAGACAGAAAGCTTGCCACAGCCTTCAGTCACATGATTCTTCCACAATACTCTAAACTATGGTCTTCCTAGTCCACGTCCGTTTATACTCAAATTCTTAGTCATATCGTTATATGTGCGCTGTAACCGACATTCAATTACAAATCAATGAAAGAAAATTATTTGAAGATGACGAGTGAGCAAGATCGTGTTACTTGTCGAGAGATTGTATCTATGTGCATGTAGATGTGTTTTCACGATATCCCCTTTAATTTTCATCCAAAACGATTTTCAACTCGTGCCGGGCTCTGGTTTTTGTCATCGAAGTGTCAAAAAAAAAGATGCGCTACGAAGAGCCTACTCTTGAATACACGGGAACGTTATATTAGGTCGTTCCGAAAGTTCTTTCCGTTTTTTCAACCTATCATAAAAACATGTAGAATGAAGGTAGAAAAA